CAGTGCGAATGGAGATTAATCTGACTGCCTGAGTATGGCACGTGTTTAAATGTATCTCTTACAATTAAGGCCTGCTCAGGACACCTCATGAATTGACCAAAAAAAATATATAATTTTACAACATTTTTAAAGTTGATATATCTAACTATATACAAAGGGGTGGGAGTTATGTCATATATATATTTTTATACTTTTTTTTTTTCTATCCAAAGTATCATACTTTATACTCAAAAGAGATGTTCCTCCATAAGTTTTGAACAGAAATATCCTATGTTATAACAGTTTTAGTTTCTTGCTCTATCTGTTAAAGTTTTTTTTTTTTTTTTTTTTTTTTTTTTTTTTTTTTTTTGAAAGGATCTCTTAAAGTTTTTAATATAGTTGTGTTTAATTTCATGTAATGGACATTATAGATCAAAAATTAAATTTATAAACGAATAATATAATTGATAAACACATATAATAGAATATGGATTGTAGAATATATTCGAATTAGTTATATTTAATTAAATATTGTTAATGCTTAATTAGTTAACACAAAAAATTAAAAAATAAATAATTTTTATTGATCGTTATTATTTAATACTAATTTTTACACACACATTGCGCGACTGATTTAATACCCAATGTTTGTATTTAAATAAGTAATTCAAAGTATATCGATGCAAGACTATATAAGAGCTAGAGTTAATTATAGTTGATATTAAAATTAATGTTTGCACTTTTCTAAAAACAATTATCTATCGAAATACATGTATGGTATTAGGTAGTAGATACTACTTTTGGTTAGAATTACTCTAAATTTTGTTAATTCACTTTTAGATAGGTTTGTCATTGTCTTCGTCTTCATTGCTTGTTCGCTTTTGTTTTGTTAGTAGTGTCTCATGTGCAATTGAGTTACTGGTGCTAGTTTGCAAAAATAACATATTTGAATCTTTTTTTGAAAAGTCAATCTGTCGATTGTATTAATCAATGAAAGCCATAATAGCATCAGGCGGGATAGAATCCCAATACATAGAATGTTCCTGAGTAAAAGCTAACGAAGCTAAAGTATGAGCATGTAAATTAATATGTCTAGGCACATAGCTTAACGAAACAGAATTAAATAAAGACATCCTTGTTCTGCACTGATGAATTATTAAACCCGCATACGAGTGGATGGGTATAGTTTGGTGGTGAATGGTGGTACGTAATACCATACAATCCGTGAGTAGACTGGCTGAATTGATACTTCTTTCTACTAACCAGGACAGTGCCTCTTTAAACGCCATAGCCTCCGCCATGAGTGGTGAAAAACAAGAGGGTGATTTTCCGTTCTTTGCTGCCACAAACGAGCCTCCGGGCTCTAATAACACAACTCCATACGTAGCCTCCCCGGTTTCCTGCCGATATCCCGCATCTATATAGCATCGCATGTGATTATCAGGCAAGCCCGGTTCGGACTGTGGCTGTTCTCCTCCTTGTTTGGCTCGACCGTGCACCACACCATATGTTTCGAGCAAAACCGCCGCCCCCTTCACAATAGTCTGCGGCCGTGCCATGGCCCCTTTCCACTGCGGCCTCTCCAAATATTGTATAAAACACCCACCAACAGCTGTGTTTGCTCCTCCGTTAAAATTGCCATAGCCCCAGCTAACCATGCTGCAAACGAATCTGTAACAATATTTGTGATAGGTAATCATGTTATATTCCAAACTAATACAGAATATTCACAATATACTAACGCATGCAACACATCTTCATTAGTCATCATGCACATAGGACAAACCGGGTCAATCTCCACCCTCTTATTAATTAAATTCGTGGTAGTGGGTAAAATATCACATACTGCTCTCCATAAAAAAGTCTTCCACTTTGGTGGTACTTTCAATTTCCACATCCTAACCCATTTATCAAAATCACCTGGGTTATTCTCATAATCACCAATAATACGCCTGTAGGCATTCTTTACTGAATAAATTCCTTTTGGGTCACCCATCTAGTACCACGAGTCATCATAATCAGGACTAACAGGAATTCTAACTATTCTGCTCATATCCTCTGGAATAAATAAATCAGATAATATATGTGGATCCCATGTTCGTGTTTGTGGGTCTATCAAACCTGCTACCCGTGCTTCTCTTAACTCTTCAGGCATAATTGTTTGTACCAAGGGGCTTGGATTATCCTGGAGCCATGGGTGTCCCCAAATCAGAGTTGTCTCACCATTTCCAATCCTGCGCCTTATCCCAGCTACCACTATTGGATGTGCTGCCATTATACTTCTCCAACAAAAACTTGGGCAATTACCAATAGTAGCATCCACAAAACTAGAAGTGGGGTAATACCTGGCTTTATATATTCTTGCCACCAGGGACTCTGGGTTTGTCAAAAAACGCCACGCCTGCTTGCCCAACATAGCTAGATTAAAAGCTCTCAACTCCTTGAACCCCAGACCACCAAATTTCTTGGGGATACATAATTTATCCCATGCCTTCCAATGTATCCCCCTATCCTTCCCACTTCCCCACCAGTATCTATTCATGGCTCTCTCAATGGATTGGCAAACTGTTTCAGGCAACAAAAAAACACTCATTGAAAAAGTTGGCATAGATTGAGCCACACTTTTCAATAAGACCTCCTTACCAGCCTTAGACAATAACTTTGTGCTCCATGATCCAATCCTCTGCCTGATCTTTTCCTCCACATAGGAAAAAACTGCTCTTTTATTCCTACCCACAAATGATGGGAGACCCAGATACTTCCCAAAATTATCTGCCTGCACTACCTCGAGACAGCTTGCCACCTGCGTTCTAGCCATATGTTGGGAATTCCGGCTAAAACATATATTTGACTTGTTATAATTCACCACCTGTCCAGAAAGCGTCTCGTACCTCTCCAAACATTTTTTAATCACATTAGCCTCGTGAATATTTGCTTTAAAGAAAAGTATACTATCATCCGCAAAGAATAAATGGGACACCGGAGGAGCACCCCTGGCCACTCTACATCCATGAATAGAACCTGTTATTTGTTCCCTCTGCAATAACATCGAAAGTGCCTCAGCACAGATAATAAATAAGTAAGGGGAAAGAGGATTTCCCTGCCTGAGGCCACGAGTCGGTTTGACACACCCACCCACCTCCCCATTCACCATCACCGTATAGCTCACCGTTGTCACACACAACATTATTAATTTGACCCATTTATCACCAAACCCCAGCGCCCTCATCATTTTTTCCAAAAACTTCCACTCCATCCTGTCATATGCTTTAGACATATCCAATTTCAGTGCACTCCAGCCTACTACACCACACTGTTTCCTGTTCAAATAGTGACCCACCTCCGCTGCCACCAAGATATTATCTGTAATTAATCTGTCAAGAATAAATGCACTTTGTGATTCCGAGATAATATCACCCATCAAATTTTTCATTCTGTTTGCCAACATTTTTGCCATTATTCTATAAATGACATTGCTTAACGTAATCGGTCTCAACTCTGCAACAGTCTCCGGGACCTCCTTCTTAGGAATCAAAACTATGTTAATATCATTCAGGCCCTCTGGGAATATTCCAAAGTTCAAAGCATGCAGAATAAAACTAGACACATCCTCACCCACAATAGACCAAAAATGCTGGTAGAAACCCGGATTCATTCCATCCCGGCCTGGTGCTTTATCCGGGTACATAGCAAACAACGTTATTTTTACCTCTTCTTTCGTAAAAGGCTGATTCAACATCTCATTATTCTCATTCGACACACGGGGGGCCAAATCATTAAAAAGGGGATCATCGCAGCTCATATTATTAGAAGTAAATATGCTGTTAAAGTACTCCAATACCACCGAATGCATATCAGTACCCTCCACCCATTGACCACCATCATTTTTAAGACTAGTAATAAAATTCTTCTTTCTACGGGCAGAAGCATACCTGTGATAGAACTTCGTATTGGTATCCGCACCCCGTAGCCAGTGCTGTTTCGCACGCTGCCTCCAAAATACATCCTCCTGGGCCTCCAACTGCTTTAATTGATTCTCATTGCGTTGAAACTCGGCCAAAGCGACCGGGTCCGTTACATCATGGAATCTCTATTACTGTCTCCGCAACTGCCCAATGCGCTGGCCAAATTTATGAAACTGGTCCCCTCCCCACCGCATCAGTTTCTTACCACAAACCTGCTGACAGTGCAACAAGCCCTTCGGCCTTCCTTCCTGCCAGGCTGTCTCCACCACCTCCTTGCACCCCTCATCCAATAGCCACGCATTTTCAAACCTGAACCTCCTCGGCCCTCTTACCCTGCGCATGGTGATTGCATTTACACAGAGAAACAAAGCCGAGTGATCTGATTTTCTAGTCTGCAGATTCTCCACCCAAGCATTCTCATTATTCCCCCATTCATCCGTAACAAGCACCTTATCCAGCCTCTCTCGTATCCAATTCACCGTTCCTTTACTCTTATCCCATGTGAACTGGCAGCCCCGCATCGGCATCTGCACTAGCCCACACTCATCTACAGTTTCCCCAAACCCACGGAGGAGGCTGTTTGGATATGGATTTCCCCCCCCCCCCCCCCCCCCCCCCCCCTCTTTTCATGCTGATAGAGAAGATTATTAAAATCCCCTATCACCACCCAAGGTAACCCAGATCTACTCCTCAACCCTCTCAGCAGCTCCCAGGTTTCCTCCCTTCTACTTCGATCCGGACAACCATACAGACATGTCATTCGCCATACCTTGCCCGTCATACTCACCTCAATATCAATATGGTTTGGCGAATAACACAACAACCTGGCCGTGTTGTTCTTCCTCCATAGTAGTGCCATACCCCCACTCAACCCTTCATTATCCACATAGAACAACCCCTCGTAGCCAAGCTTGACACGGACTCTCTCCGCCTGACTCCTATCCACCTTGGTTTCCATCAAGAACACAAACTCTGGCTTCTTACGGGACACCATGTCCACAACTTCTCGAACTGTGCGTGGATTGCCCAAGCCACGACAGTTCCAGCTTAACGTACTCATGATGACGGGCGGGGCTGGACTCCAGCTCCCGCCATTGGCAAGTTTTTTGAAACATCTGTCACCACTCCCTCCTCCACTCCACTATCCTCTCCACTCCTCGTACCGTGTCTACGACGCTTTGCCGTAGCCACCACCACCTCATCCTCAGACATACTCGTGGGCGTTACTCCCACACTTCTCCTCTCCCCCTCGACCGCCCCAATCCTTTGTGGCTTCACCAATGGACGTGGTTTCCCACCGACCGGCACGAGCCAGCTATCCCCAACCGCTCTAGGAGCGCTCCGGGACCCACCAGCCCGCATATCCGGACCGTACAAATACCTATCCACTGGCACCCCCGCCTCCCTAGCTTGTAGGCAAAACGTATGCAAGTGACCCATATAACCACAAAAATAGCAAAACTTATGCAGCCGCTCATACCTGAAATTAACCCAAGTTGTAGTCCTGTCTCTCTTCATCAATCTCATTCTCCTCCTCAGTGGCCTATCAACCGGTATTGACACCCGTATACGATGAAAAGTTAACCATGGTGCCCCCTCAAAACGCTCATCATGCTTAACAAAAGAGCCCAAAAAATTCCCTGCCTGTTCCAGAATTGCATGAGATGTGTACCCCTTAGGCATGTCGTGCAGCTGTACCCACATATCAATCATGTCCAGCTTCACATCCACAGGAATCACCCCGTCCACCACTTCCCGACACACAAGAGCATTGTTCTCAAAAGCCCAGGGTCCCCCATTCAGAACATAGTCCATATCCGTTTTGTGGAAAAAAAACAAATAAGAACAAACCCCCCCCTGAATCTCCGTTACCTACACCCCACGCACTGGCTGCCATACTGACGCTAACACCTGCCTCATAAAATCTAGTTTAATTTGCTTTTGCGTCAAGAACCGCCCGACCACCCTCCATGTCTCCTCCTCACCTTCCCCGTCACCCTCATCCCCATCATTCTCCCCTCCCGGCATAAACACCGGACCCTCCTCCTCCACCAGTGCCCAATCCGCCCACCTATCCGACAACTCCGCCACATCCACCACCACCCCGCTTGCCGAACAGCCCCCCCTCCTCTCCCCCACGCCGCCCCCTACTGCCGACCCCCTCCCATCCAAACTGCCAGCATCAACTCCCCTAATTCTACCCCCCTCGCCAGCTACGTTTCTAACTCCACGCCACATGCCACTACCGCCACTTATCCCATTCCCCCTCAACACAATATCCGGATCCATCTCACCCATTCCCACCGCCCTCCCTGCCAAATTTCCATCCGCCAAACTCCTTCCCTCCACCGACCGTCTCAAACCAACACTGCCCGACAGCCCCCCAGCCATCCGCTCATCATCAGCATCCATCGCCCTCTCCCTCCCAGCCCTTCGACATCCATGTTCTCATCACCGACCATCTTCCGGACAAAAAGAAGCAATCAGCGTTGAAAATCTAGGATAATCCTAGTAGAAACCGCAAAAACCCTAGAGAGATTCTAGAGAGAAATTATTAATTTCACCAATACGTTATTGGTAATTAATTGTTTTAACATATTTGAATCTAAAACAGGTCAATAATATTATTGTTATTTTAGGATGATTGTTGTTTCAATTTCATAATTATATTGGATTTAAAGGTGTTGGCTACGTTGTATGAGTTGCAAACATGAATGGGGTCAAAAGAATCGGTATGCATTACATGCACAAATTGAATGATGAATATATATATATATATATATATATATATATATATATATATATATATATATATATATATATATATATATATATATATATATATATATATATAAAGTGATTATAGATTATACAAGTTATTTTTCCGTATATCTACAATATACATTATTGGTAGCTGGTAATTAATAATACTGAAGAGAAATGACCCCGTAAGATTAAGATAGAACCCTAAACCGAAGCAAATTCTTATCCTCGAATCCGTCTTCAATCATTACTTGAAGATACTGTTTTAGCTTTGTCAGTGTGCTCTATATCTTCGGTGCGGATGGCCATGTGATTCTGTACTAATAGTGGGTATGTTTAGGAATATTTGACGAAGCATATATATAACAATAAACATAATCACTTATAACTTAAAAAATTTGAATGAACTTACAAGTTGAATAGCAACTTTAGAATGAGGTGTTAATCATGTGGTATGTGTAGATTGGGCAACTCCATCTAAAACACCCCACGTCTATTTCTCTTACCCAATTCTGGACAAGTCAATAGGGTAAATTGGAAAATGTAAAATGATATAGTTAAGTTCAATTTTAGAAAGAATACACTATTTCGGGGCTAACTAAAAAGGAAAGTAAGATAAGTAAAATAGGACGTATGGAGTAGTGATTGAAAAAGGTTATGCAATTTAGTTATAGCATATGAATTCATATAGAATTTCAATTTTACATCAAAATTTGAAAATTTCTCACTTCTAATATCAAACCTAGTGCAAAATTCGACCATTAAAAAGTTATAAATTTTACGTAAAAAATTAAATATTCTCACGACAGAAAGAACGAATGTCGCACTTTCTGTCGCCATACTCAAACGTGAATCTATCTTTGTGCCAAACATTGCAACAAAATTAATTTCCGTTGCTGATTCCATCGTCGTAGCGCGACAGACATATGTGGGGTATCATAGTTTATGTTGCAAATGTGTTAACATATTGGCGATATAATCAATTCTGTCGTCTCATTTTGTAGTGAAAATAAACTTTACTTAAAAAATTAAATAATTTAGTGAGCGGAAAGAACGATCGTTGCAAGTTCCATCGCCAACCTCAAACGTCAAATCTAACTTTGTAGCAAACATCGCAACAGAATTAATTTTCGTTGCTGATTCCATCGTCGTAGCGCAATGGACATGTGGAGTATCACATTATCTGTCGCCAATGTTTTAACATATTGGCAACAGAATCGATTCTCTTGTCTCATTCTGTAGCAAAATAAACTTTACTTAAAAAATTAAATATTTTAGTGACGGGAAGACTGATCGTTGCAAGCTCCGTCGCCAACCTCAAACGTCAAATCTAGCTCTGCGCCAAACATCACAACAAAACTAATTTCCATTTCCAATTCCATCGCCATAGCGCTACAGTCATGTAGGGCGTCACATTTTCTCTCGCCAACATTTCAACATATTGGCAGCGGAATTAATTTCGTTCGTCCCATTCAATTCTGTAGCAAAAATAAACTTTACTTCAAAATTTAAATATTTTTGCGATGGAAAAAATACACGTCGCAATTCCCGTCGTTAGCTTCCGTCTTCAATTACTTGGTGCAAATATTACGTGGGAATATTTTCCACTTTGCGCCAAATGTCGCAACAGAATTTATTCTCGTTGTCGATTCTGTTGCAAAATTGCGAAGGAACCATCGGCCTTTTCCGTCACCGTTGTGGTGACAGAACTTAATTTCGTCGCAAAATTCTTCATCATCCAAAATGTGGGTGCAAACATTTCTTGGGTTTTTCTCACTTTGCGCCAAAAATCGCAACCGAATTGAATTCCATTACCATTTTCGACGCAAAATCGTGACTGAACACGTTCCGTCGCAAAAATCGTCGCGAATCGACAACGGATTACATTCCGTCGCGATGTTTCCATCGCGATTAATGAGTTTTCTTGTAGTGGATCCTTACCTTTAATCCATACACCGGTGTTTGATTCCCAGCAGTAGCATTATTATTTATAGTCTATTCCTTAGGGCTATAGTATTTATTATTTATGTATTCTTTGGACTGCTATTTTGGGCCAGTATCTCGGGCTTTGTATGTAGTCTTTTGGGCTTAGCGCACCAAGCAATAATACGGAAATTTATATCCTACACCGCGGCGCGCGTTGCACTGTGCGTCCAAATGCAAAACGACGTCGTTTTAATTTTTTTTTTTTTTTGAAATTTCCTGCCCCAGTGTATGGCAGTTAATTTTTCTTTAAAAAAAACTCATGTTCAAAAATGTACATAATGTTATACTAGAATACACATAATTGTATACATGAATGTACATAATTATATAACAAAATATACATACTCCTTTTAACAGATAATACACATAATCTAACATAATACATAATAAACATAAACTTTTAACATAATACACATCAACTCTTAACATAATACACACAAATTTTCTGATTCGGATGTACATAATTGTATAAAAAGAATGTACATAATTGTATAAAAAATGTACATAACTATATGAACAAATATACATAATCACAGCAACTTCCTACCGCGCCTCCCAAAACGACGTCGTTTTGGGAAGCGCGCGGCGCACAGTGCTACGCGCACCGTGGTGTAGGGTATAACGATTGCAATAATACTACGGCAAATTATGATGTGGAAGTGGAACTGTGTCCACCTTGCAAGGTGGACACGGTCCCAAAATTGTTCATAATTATGAATGTATAGTTCAAAAATTATGAACATATAATTCTATAATTATGAGCATATAGTTGTGAATATAGTTATGAATATATAGTTCTGTAATTATGAATATAGAGATTCAATAATTGTGAATATGAAGTTCAAAAATTATGAATATATAGCTTTATAATTATCAACATATTGTTCAGTAATTATGAACATATATAGAGTTCAATAATTATGAATATAAAGTTTAAAAATTATGAATATATAGCTTTATAATTATGAACATATAGTTCAGTAATTATGAACATAGAACCGTGTCCACCTTACAAGGTAGACACGGTTCCACAGCATAACGATTGATAATACTACTATTTTCCTACCTCCGTTCTACACTTCCATACCCGGTCTCAACAAAATGATCATAGTATAATACCTATAGTAATATCCACATATATTATTCACAACAAATTGTAATTTTTAATACATAAATACAAATAAGGTGATAACACTTTATTCTCTAATCTGATCTTTAAATTAAGAGTAAGTTTTATGTGAGACCGCCTCCAGGGTGGAGGTACGTGAATGGGTAGCGGCCTTGCCCCCCACCCCCACCCCACCCCACCCTACCTTACTTTACCCTATCTTATCCAAAAATATTAATAAATACTCTATATTTATGTATATATTTTATATTAAGAATAAAAATTTTCTTTTGCCCCCTCAATTTTTTGTTTAAAATTTTTTTAATATGTATATATTAAATAAGTCCAAAACATATATTGAAGTCCAAATTCACAAAAAAAAATAAATAAATCAAGTAATTAATTAATTAATATGTATTTTTTATTATTTATTTACACTTTAGGATGTTCATTTGATAATTCAAAAGACTAGTTTTCAAATTGGAAAAACTAATTTTAATATTGATTCTTTAAGTTGTGATTTTGAAATTCGTCCTCGTCCCTCAAATTTTGAAATATTAAGTTAATTACTAATTACTAATTAGTAAAATGAATATTAATTAATTATGTAAAAAAAATGTTGCCAACAAAATAAATGACAACTTTTATTTGATAAAAGAGTGACAAGAAAAATTATATTGTATATATTTTGTGTTATGTGAAAAATTTTAGAGTATCGATTGACATCGATGTCAATTGTTACATAAATTTTCATTAAAAACTATTATCGATCATACATTGTATAATTATGTATGGTATATAATAATATCATGTATGATTGAAACTGATGTTGATTGACATTGTGAATTTTTTATGTAATTTTGGACTCCCTGATATACATTTTCTGGCTCCGCTCCTTTCCGCCTCATATAAAAAATATAATATTTTTAACTAAAATATAAAATTTTAGTTGGGACCT